ACCTGAACCTTCGCTCCCACAGACTTCCTCCTCTTTGTGCAACCCGTTGCTAGAAGCTGCTTCACTTCCCTGCCTGGCTGTTTGCCGCTCCCACAATGCTCTCGGACATCATCATGTACCACAAGTAAAGAAGGACGGCAAGGGCCCGGCCACAACCTGAAGTATGACAGGTGGAGCGGTTGGTGATGGTGATGAACGTTCCAGGGGGTGGGTGTGCTGCTGTTGTGGTGGTGCATGTCACAAGGGGAGGGTGGTTGTGGGTCTCTGCCGGCACCTCTGGCCCTGGCACTGTCCGGCATCCTGCCCAGCTCACTGACATCACTGGTTGCCAGGGGCTGGGCTGGACTCCAAACAGAGCGTCCCACTCAGCTCCTGGCAACCAGTGATATCAGTGAGCTGGTCAGGATGCTGGCCGGAATGTCACATGTTGCTAAGAGCAAACGGGAAATGGGGTGGCAGGCACACCTGTCGCCTCCTCCATGAGACCCAATGAGATGCCGCCTGAGGCAAATGCCTCACTGCTGCCTCATTGTAGGGATGACCCTGGGTACGAAAAAGACACACAACACAGCGAATACCTTGGAGGAGCAGGAACAGGTGAGTGCAAGACTTGAACAAGAGGGGTACTGTAAGGGGAGAATGATCTAAAGTATAGAAACATGGCAGGCACATTGCAAAGGCACCCCAGGTAGAATCCAACAATTGGCATTTGCAGAGGTGCTTGTGTATGACTACACGAAATTAAAGCAGATGAGTTGTGTCTCTTTGAGGCTATAGGGTATGGGTGGTGGTGGTGGTGGTAGGTGTGTGTGTGTGTGGGGTCGAGTTAGGGGTTTTCCATTCTCTTTTGAGCATAAAGATGTCCATCTTTATTACCAGACTGCATTCCCCACATATCATAGCAGCCTTGCCCTCCAAGCTTTCATTTCTCTAATGATCATAGGCATTTCCTCAGACATTCTCAGAGATACTGTATGAGCCTTGCGTGCGTCTCTTTCTTCTCTGAAAGCTCTGCTCTGCGAGTGCCAATCTGTCATTATCGGTTACACGAAAAAAAAAACAACCTGATAAACAGAGACGCCATAGAAGTATCCCCAACCCTCCTCTGTGCTTTGAAGGATCAGTTAGCACCCTGCAGGCAGGCACAGGCGGCTCTCCCTCTGCCGTTATATAATTGACTCATTTAGCGGTAACGAGTGGAAGTGATCTTAAAGGCTAAATGTTTTTAAGCTTATTCAAATGCTAATGAAATCACTTACAATGGAAGCTGCTCCTTGATGTTTAAAAGTTTTAGCTTCCTGCAGAATCAGCTGATCCCCTGAGCACTGGCCCGGATATCCAGTTTTAGGGTGGCTCCTTTCCTTTATAGGGTCCTATGAGCCACCCTTGTGTGTGCTAGTAAGCTGTGTGTGTCTCCAGGGCCGGATTTACTTTGGCAGACCTGCAGGCTGCATACAGGTGATCTCGGCGACATCAGTGGGATCCCTTGTACAGAACGAGCGGAGGCTTCCCCGCTGTACATTTAGCTCTGCTTGCCCAAAGCAGGGCTACATGTAAAAAACAACCACACGCCCGGAACTGCATGTCCCGGGCATCGGGAGATAGGAATTCCCCACCCCTGCTGCCCCTCTACTCCCGGCTGCCCCAAGGCCGGGCCTTGGTTGGCCTTGTGGGAAATCCGGCCCTGTGTGTCTCCACCAACACACAGGCACAGTAGGGCTCTCCTTGATCTTCTTTTCTCCAGGCTGGTAGCTGGAGAGCTGTTGGAGATTACTTTGTCCCCTGTGACCTTGTACTGGATAGGAAGTTCAGGGAAGCTGAGCTGAGAGAGCTGGGGAAACATGATGACTGTGAGTGTTTGGGCAAAAATGTAAAGAGATAATTTGCTGGACAATGTATATTTGTTTGATCTGGAATTACTATTGAAAAAATGTTGTGAGTTTAATAGAAGAGAATCATCTTCCAATGGCTGTCTGTGATTGATTGGCATCATTTAAAAACACCAGACAGGCATCAAATATTTGTGTTTAAATTGAGGAAATACCAACCCTCATTCATCTTCTGCACCTGGATGTCCTGCTTGCTAAACTGGTGTAGTTGCCAACATGGGCATCCCTAGCCTTTTTGCCACCTTGGGTGGCAGGCAGGGGGGGTCGGGTGACGTTGGGCCTGCTGGTCCTGCAATAATCACATCACCGATCACGATCAGCTAATTTTCTTCTTATTATTATTATACAGGATTTATATAGCGCCAACAGTTTGCTCAGCGCTTTACAATATATCAACTACCACATCGACTCCAATATTAACAAAGGTATTTTTGCTTTATATATATATTTCTTTCATCCCTTGCTTCAGTGCTGCTGATCTCCTCTTTGCAGACACTTCCTGTCTCTATATACTCCTGCGATGGCTGCATGGGCGGGTTTGCTGACGGTGACAACAGAGGACCATGTCTGCGCAGGGCCGGTGCTTCCACTAGGCAGCCGCCTAGGGCGCACTGGTGCCTAGGGCGCAGCCGGGACCTCTTACCCCCCGCCCCCCCATCTATTTCAAATTGCAAAAGCCAATAGCAGACTGGCTCTTGCACCCTCCCACTGAGCAGAACTGAGATACAACTTTCTCTCTCAGGCCCGCTCCTCCGCTCAGTGGGTGGGGTTTCAATAGCCAGTCAGCTATTGGCTATTTCAAATTAAAATAGCCAATAGCAGTCTGGCTATTGCTCCCGGGCTGCTAACATCCACCTGTTGCCTGAGGAAGCTAGGAGAAAGGAGCCACGTGGGGGGTGGGGGGGGGATTGTGCCACAGGAGGGG